GTCCGACCGCGTACCTAACAGCAAGAATGATACAGCCTGATAGACTGTAGGAAATTTGACACAACCGGTGGGGAAAAACCCTCTGTTCTGTTTAAAGCTGGCTTAAGCTGGTATAGTCCAAAGAGCAGTGCCCTTTTATACTATCCAAGGACCTCTCCAAATCTGGGCTGTTTTCTTTCTAAATCTGGGCTCTTACATCCTTAAATTTGCAGCTGTTCTCATCCTGCAGCAGTACTGCATCATGAGATACCTTTTGCTCTCAGTTCACATACTTTATTGCTCTACTTCTGAACAGCGCAATTAGGTCTCCAGAGTTTGCTTGTTTTATCAAAAAAAAAAAAAAAGCACAGGTATTAAACATAAGTAGAGAAATATTCCAGCTCACGAGTCAAATCCGATAATTGAAGTGGTAGGATAAGGCTTAAAATTAGCCCAGTTCATACCTGAATAGAGTTCATATCTCACTGGGAACTAACCATCCTTTCTCTTCTTCGTCTTCATTTTTTTTCCCCTGCCACTGTTCGGTTTGGAAGGTGATCTTTAGTAAATATTGCAACTCCAAAGATATCATGGACCTCTTCTGCATTGCAACAGGGCTACCAAGGTAGGTCTGTCTTTTCGTTTGTGACATTCATTTCACTTTTGTTGCTTTACTTCTGAGGACAGTTTAAAGACAGGCCTAAAATGATGCATTTATCTGCTATTCAGGCTTCTCTCTCATTCCAGTCTACTGGAAGAAGAAACTGGAGCAACCCACAGAGCACCAGCTAGAAAAGCACATGAAGCTCAGGCAGGCATTAAGCCATCCCAGTGCCGGCTGCATCTGAGGAACAGAGTAGAACAGGGTAGAACAGAAGAGATACAGTCTAAAAAAATAAAAGCAAGTGCAGAAGCGCAGCACTACATTTTTCCCCCATATCAAGTGAAACACGACCATATGTTTAGAACCTGGTTTTTAGGGAAAAACTTTGGACCAATGAGAAGCATTGCCACTAGGTGATAAGCTTTATATTTAAACACAGTACAACCTAATCCCAGGTATGGGATATTCAAACACAGAGTATCCCAGCAGAACTGTTTTATAGAACATACCTGCAAATGCATTGTCCAGGCCAAGTATTTCCCTGTTGGTGCTGAACAGCAAAGTCCATGCATCTCTCCCTCTGTAATTGCTGTAGGTTTTGTTACTCTTACCCTCAATCTAGAGAACAGCATCTGACTTAAATCTCTGTTGTGAGGGATCCAGGGTTGGGTGTTGGTGTGCGTTGGGGTGGAAGAGGCTGGTGCGTGGTGGTGGGTGGCATGGCGTAGCACCCAGCAACTTCTGCAATCGCCCATCCAGGGTGGTGGTGCAGGGGGAGGGAAGCCCCTTAGTCACATCTAGAAGGGGACATCTGGTGTCTGCATACAGGCCTTTAGCAGCACGGGCCAGATGCACAGCAGCATGCAATAAGCCGTATTCTTTTGTGCATAGAGGTTTACAATACAGAAAAAGCACAGGAAAAAATAGGCCAATGCTTTAATGACTGGTTTATTACATGACTCCAGCTCTGGGGATTGAAGGATAAAATTGTCTATATTGACTCAGAATTTGCATAAACTGCCAGACAGAATAAATGCCCTTTGCTGTTTATCCTGGTCATTCCTCCCATTTGACATTAGAGGGGTTAATAGCTCTCATTTGCATATGATGTCAAATACTTCCACTCCACCACCCAGGAAACTTTGTTTAGCAGTTTTAGTCATTCATGAACAGGGTGTTCACTGCGTATTTGTCATTTTATTTTCACCAAAAGACTTCTAAAGAATTGTTAATTTCAACCAGGCTCCTGGAGCCACAGTAAAGCTCCAAGGTTTATATCTGAGCCTATGAGATCACACCTAATGCAGCATATAAAAAAAAAGGCCCCATATTCAGCAAGGCGTTTGTTTTGTTTGTTTTGGTAAAGGAATAGCTAGAGACATTCATAGTACCAGTAGTCGTTTGTATAGTGTGAGTCAATATGCCTTTATGCAAACGCACATAGAACGCCTCTATGCAAACGCATGATAGCATAAACACGAGGAGTTAGAGATGTTCACAAACCTGCAGGGCTATGATCTTATTGGCATTACAGAGATATGGTGGGAAGGCTCCTATGACTGGAGTGTTGGAATGGAAGGATACAGGGTCCTTAGGAAGGACAGGCAGGGGAGAGGAGGAGGGGGTGTCACCATCTATCTCAAGGACCACCTGGAGTTCACGGAGCTCTGTCTGGGGGTGGATGAGGAGCCGACTGACAGCTTATGGGTCAGGATTAAAGGGAGGGCAGGGACAGGTGAAGTTACATTGGGGGTCTGATACAAGCCACCTGACCAGGAAGACAGGTGAGGCCCTCCACAGACAGATGGGAACAGCCTCACGTTCACAAGCCCTGGTCCTCAAAGGGGACTTCAACCACCCTGATATCTGTTGGAGGGAAAACACAGCAGGGCATAAGCAACCCAGGAGGTTCCTGGAATGTGTTGATGATTACTTCCTTCTCCAAGTGACAGAGGAGCCAACAAGGAGAGTTGCTATGCTGGACCTTGTTCTTACCAACAAGGATGGATTGGTGAGGCCACAACTGGAATACTGTATCCAGTTTTGGGGTCCCCAGTTCAAAAGGGACAGGGAACTGCTGGAGCAAGTCCAGGGAAGGGCAACCAAGATGATTGAGGGATTGGAGCATCTCCCTTATGAGGAAAGGCTGAGAGAGCTGGGACTCTTTAGGCTGGAGAAGAGAAGGCTGAGGGGAGACCTTATTATTGCTTTCAAATATCTAAAGGGTGGGTTGAGGGAGGATGGAGCCACACTCTTCTCGGTGGTTCCCAGTGACAGGACGAGGGGCAATGGGCACAAGTTGGAACATAGGAAGTTCTGTTCCAACACACGGAAAAACTTCTTTACAGTTAGGGTGACAGAGCACTGGAACAGGCTGCCCAGGCAGGTTGTGGAGTCCCCTTCTCTGGAGATTTTCAAAACCCGCCTGGATGCAGTCCTGAGTAATGTGCTCTGGGCAATCCTGCTTTAGCAGGGGAGTTGGACTAGATGATCTCTAGAGGTCCCTTCCAACTCTGAAAATTCTGTGATGCTGTGATTCTGTGTGACTGGTGGGGAATACGAAGCTCAAGGGCAGCCCTGGCTGCAGTGACCATGAAATGGTGGAGTTCAAGATCCTTAGGGCAGCAAGGAGGGCACACAGTAAACTCACTACTTTGGACTTCAGGAGAGCAGACTTTGGCCTCTTCAGGGATCTGGTTGGCAGAGTACCATGGACTAAAGCCCTGGAGGGAAGAAGGGCCCAAGAAAGATGGTTAATATTAAGGGATCACCTCCTCCAAGCTCAGAAGTGATGCATCCCAACAAAGAGGAAGTCAGGCAAAAATGCCAGGAGGTCAGCATGGATGAAAAGGTTGCTCCTGCAAAAACTCAAACTGAAAAAGGAAGCCTATAGAGGGTGGAAGCAAGGCCAGGTAGCCTGGGAGGAATACAGAGATTGTCTGAGCAGCCAGGGATCAGGTTAGTAAAGCTCAAGCCCTGATAGAATTAAATCTGGCCAGGGACATCAAGGGCAACAAGAAAAGCTTCTCTAGGTATGTCGGTGACAAAAGGAAGACCAGGGGAAATGTGGGCCCACTCCGGAAGGAAACGGGACACCTGGACACCCGGGATATGAAGAAGGCTTAGGTAGTCAATGACTTTTTTTGCCTCAGTTTTCACCAGCAAGTGCTCTAGCAGAAGGCAAAGGCAGGGACTGGGAGAATGAGGAATGACCTACTGTAGGAGAAGATCAGGTCTGAGACCATCTAAATAACCTGAAGATACACAAGTCCATGGGCCCTGATGAGATGCATCCATGGGTCCTGAGGGAAGTGGCGGCTGAAGTTGCTAAGCCACTAGCCATCATAGTTGAGAAGGCGTGGCAGTCCAGTGAAGTTCCCGCTGACTGGAAAAGGGGAAAGATAACCCCCATTTTTAAAAAGGGAAAAAAGGAAGACCCAGGGGACTACAGGTCAGTCAGTCTCACCTCTGTGTCCGGCAAGATCATGGAGCAGATCCTCCTGGAAACTATGCTAAGGCACATGGAAGATAAAGAGGTGATCGGTGACAGCCATCATGGCTTCACTAAGGGCAAATTGGGCCTGACAAACTTGGTGGCCTTCTACGACAGGGTTACAGTGCTGGTGGGTAAGGGAAGAGCAACTGATGTCATCTACCTGGACCTGTGCAAAGTATTTGACACTGTCCCTCACATCCTTGTCTCTAAATTGGAGAATGTCATGGTTTAACCCCGGCCGGCAGCCAGAACCATGCAGCCACTCGTTCATTCCACCCCACAGTGGGATGGAGGAGAGAATCAGAAGAGTGAGGAAAAATTTGTGGGTGAAGATAAAGACAGTTTAATAGGTAGAACAAAAGCCACACACACAAGCAAAGCAACACAAGAAATTCATTCACTGCTTCCCATCGACAGGAAAACAGGGTTCCATCACACATAACAGTTACTTGGGAAGACAAATGCCATCGCTCCAAATGTCTCCCCCCACTTCCTTCTTCTTCCCCCACCTTTATACGCTGAGCATGATATCATATGGTATGGAATATTCCCTTGGTCAGTTGGGGTCAGCTGTCTTGGCTGTGTCTCCTCCCAACATTTTGTGCACTTCCAGCCTGCTCACTGGTGGGGCAGTGTGAGGAGCAGAAAAGGCTGTGACTGCTTAGCAACAACCAAAAACATTAATGCACTTTCATCACTGTTTCTCATCCCAAATCCAAAACATAGCACTACACCAGCTGCTAGCAAAAAAGTTAACTCCATCCCAGCTAACACCATCACAGAGAGACACGGATTTGACGGATGGACCACTCAGTGGATAAGGAATTGGCTGGATCATAGAATCATAGAATGGTTTAGGTTGGAAGGGACCTTGAAGCCCATCTAGTTTCACCCCCCCTGCCATAGGCAGGAACACTTCCCACTAGACCAGGTTGCTCAAAGCCCCATCCAGCCTGGCCTTGAACACCTCCAGGGATGGAGCTTCCACAACTTCTCTGGGCAACCTGTTCCAGTGCTTTACCACCCTCAGAGTGGAAAGTTTCTTCCTAATATCTAATCTAAATCTACCCTCTTCCAACTTGAAGCTATTACCCCTCGTCCTATCACTACATGCTGTTGTGAAAAGTCCTTCCCCAGCTTTCGTGTAGGCCCCCTTTAGGTGCTGGAAGGCCGCTATACAGTCTCCTCAGATCCTTCTCTTCTCCAGGCTGATGGATGGCCTCACTCAAAGAGTTGCAGCCAACGGCTCAATGTCCAAGTGGAGACCAGTGACGAGTGGCATTCCTCAGGGGTCGGTACTGGGACCGGTGCTGTTTAACATCTTTGTCGGTGACATGAACAAAGGGATTGAATGCACCCTGAGCTACCAAGTCAATGTATCACAAAATATAGCTTGTTAATAGAAATTATTAGTTGGTGAGTCAACAGAATACATGAGTTTACAGGGAGCAAAGTCTGCTCTGAGATCAAAGATGATCACACTTAACATTTTGCCAGAAACATTTCTGGTAATTGAAACAGGTGAAGCATCAATCCTACCCCATCCTGTGCTTTGACCCTTTCTGCACCAAGGTAAAATGGGTCTGAGACAGTGCCAGGCCAGGCCAGGAGTGCTGCAGCAGTAAGATGGCTATGCACCACATGCAGCAGCACAGAATTTCAGACAGCATTTCTAGGTCAAATAAACCTCTTTGAAACATGCTTTTCAGGAACACAACAATCTCCCTTTTAACGGCAGACAATTGTATGGTATCCATTGATCCGACAATGCCTGCAAACTCAGAGAGGTAAGCTTTGCTGCAACCTGCTCTTCAAAAATGGGGTCAAGCCCAAGGGAAGGGGTGGTGGTTGCCTGCAGACGCCTTTTGTGTGCAGTGGGAGGTGAGCAGCTCCCTGGAGGGAGGGAGATGACAGCAAGAATTGCATGCTGGCTTATAACACTAATGTCTGCTGTTTTTGAAGAGTTTCACTCGTTATTAAAGTAGGAGTAATTGTCTGAGGAAAAAATACCACTTTTGGTGTTTAATGTGGAACATCTGTTCCCCTCCCACCCTGTTTGCTGTCAAATGTGAAATACAAACTGCTTTCTGAGTGTTGCTGACATCAACCCTCTCTGGCTCTTCCAGGTCTCCGTACAAAGTGATACCTGTTGCCACTGGGCAGCTCTCAGGTAAAACGACCCTTTTGAACTGAATTTACTAAAGCTGAATTTGTGAACATTTGCACACGGTAATTACATGGCTATAATGCAAGAAAGGATGATGGTGTCATGGTTGTAGCTATGGCAGAATAAGAAGCGTTTGATCACAGTGTTCTGGAGAAAAGCTAAAAATGTCCCCAGATTTCAAACTATTTGAGGATGGGGTGGGAGGGCTGGAGTCCAGGGGACTTTCACAGTGCTTAGCTCTGTTCTGACTCAGCACCACCGGTGTCCTGGGGAAAGTCTCGCATGGAGCAGTGGTTTTTTTCAGGCAACGCAGACAATGTTTGAAAGCCTGTCCTGCAGTGTTTTGATAAACTTGCTCATCTCTCAGCAAAGCTCTTCTGGAAAGCTGAGCACAACATTTGAACCCCATGTTATTTCCAAATGGCTGAGGAGAGAGCATAATTTCTGTTGTGGGCATGGTAGCTCGAAGTGTAATAAATATTTAAATACACCTGACAAGATTAAAGAAGGCCTCAATGAAAGAACATATCTGGAACACATCCCTCAGCGTACAGCACTGTTGTACTCCACAGGCAGGGCTGAAGTGGCACTTCTACCACTTCTCTTTGCCTTCCAGTGCCGTGCTCAGGCCAGTCACACTCAGACACTGGAGCAGAGGATTTGCTTGGGGCAATTCCTGTAGAGCATCTGGCTCACGGTCTCTCTCATCTGTGCAGCTGCAGTATCTCCTGCCACTCACTCCGAGGCAGCCTGAGCAAGAGCCATAGCCTGTACGCTGTGGTGCTATAGGGAGATGCTGGCTGCTGAGGCAGAGGCTGCAGGAGGGTAGGAAACGTCAGCTGGGGACACAATTTGGAGCAGTAAAATGAGAAGATAGGAGGGACAAGAAGCAAGAGGTTAAGAGTATCTTGGACACATACACTGCACAGAAAGAACAGGAGGGTGCCAGAACGTTTGGGGCTAGAAAAAGCAGTTCGCAGGAATAGGTGAGGCTCCTGGATTTGGGGCAAGGCAGTTTTGCTGTTCCCACCTCATCTTCTTGGTAATGCTAATTGCAAGTCCCATCTCTTCTTCTTGCTTAGGCTCCTGTGTTACACAAGAAAACACAGTGTGTCACAGCACTGCCTTTTTTAGATGGGGAGGTGGAGAGAACCAAAGCCACTCTCTGAGGTACCCATGTCCGCTACAGCAGAAACATCTGTAGGAAAAGGGCACAGCAAGACAGTGTAGGAGGATGTGGGGGGGACGGTGGGGAGGAAAGGCAACAGCAGGGAGCTTGCACATGCAGAGAGCAAAGAAAAACATAGAGCAAAAAGAACAAAGAAGCTAGGAAACAGGGAAGAACTTTATCACAGTAAGATTTGTTACAAGCCATAAACATGTCCCATGTCAGTGACTACCACTGTTGCCAGAAGGAGGTAGTCAAAGTCAAAAGTCAGACGCACACAACTGCTAAGGGAAAAGAAGCTGTCTCCTAAACCATTTCCTTATTGTAGCAAACTCTGCTAGAACAGCATCACTTTTCCGGTCCACGAGTACACTATTTGCATTATCAGATCAGAAAAGGTGGAGTCTTAGCTGGAGCATGTGTCTCTGTGTACCAGCTGGCATGGGTAACCAATAGCCATTTGCACCAAGACGGAGAAAGACCAGTGAATGGAGCTGGTGGGGCTCCACCGAGGAATGCCACTGTGTTATACCAGCTGGGAAGCTGGTCAAAGGACTTTCTAGAAAATTTGCCTTTCTTTTTTTTTTTTTTTTCTTAACATGAAGCTAACCGTATATTTTTATAAGACCATGTATGACTTTTCGCACTCTCCCAGGGCCCTCATTTTTCACCCCAGCTGACAGCACATGGCTCTGCTTTGTGCAGAGCGCAGCTCACTGTGTCAGCAAGGTCTCTCTTCCCTCCCTGCATTTTATAAAACAAGGATTTCCAAAGATCTAAGCTGAAAAGGGAAAGAAAAGTTGTAGTGGTAGGTTGCCAAAGCATAAGACGGAGTCTGCTATGGAAAAAGGAGGAAAATTGAACTGAGTGTGATGGAACTAATGTTCCTTGGTATCTGTTTCTCTTTCACATGGGTTGTCATTAATCTTAAGCATTCCTGACATTTTGCTGAGAGTAGGAAGAATAAACAGAGTGGGAAATTGTTCCTCTTCATTAAAAGAAAAAAAAACGAGCTCTGTTCTAGTCTTCACTCCTTAAATGACTCTGCCTGCATGATTCTGCTTCCCAAAGCAACTCGTCCAAATACATGCCAAAAAAGGGGTCACCCCAATTTTCACAGCAGTGGGAGGTAACGCACCTCTTTTCAGCTGTATCCCAGGCAGCTGGAAAAGAGTGACACATGCTTCAGCGGAACAAAGACTGTAAAAGGTGGGACTGGAAAATACAATCCTTTGGGAGGAAAATATAAGCAGTGGCTTTTATCCAGCAGAGGAGATATCCACTGGAGTCCTGCTAAGAAACCGTTCTTCATTTCCTGGCCATAGTCATGGGAGAGGGTTGGAATTAAAAAAAAAAAATTATTATTCCAGTGAGCATCCGTTGGATGCAGCGGCGATCGCCGTATCACCGTGGGGTCAGCTGTCTGCAAGGCAAAGGCGGGGGCCCAGCTGGCCACCTCTGAGCCTGTGGGGCCGCTGCATCACGTGCTGTCCCTCCTCCCACAGCCCCGGACTAGAAGGCGCGCTGCTATGCAAGCAGAGCATCAAAACCCCGGTGCCAAACCCTTCCTTGTCTCTAGGGTCTTGAAACTCCCAAGCCCATTGAATGGGCACCTCCTTCTCCCAAGAGAGGAAGGGCTCTGCTCTGTGTCCTCACAGCAGAATGGGCTCAAAACTCACAAAGTGATGGCTATGTTGGGGCTGTAATTAGTAGGGTTCAGGCGCTCTGCAATATAGCTGGAGATGCCAATTAAATGAACAAATCCTACTAGAAGCACACTCTTGAGAAATAAAATTGAAGCCTGTTACGTTTCTGATAGCGCAGAGAAAGAAGCTATTGTGGAGCTCAAGTGAGCCTGATTCACTGCAGTTCTAAATGGAGGAGAAGCATGCACAGGGTCTTTCCTACCGCCCCAAAGTTAGGGCAGCAAAACACACAGGCGGCTGAACAAGCCCTTAAAGATCTCACCAGGGATGTGACCTGAAAGAACACGACGTGTGCCAAGCTCAGACACAGCTCTCTCTGCACCTCAGTTTACAGCTTGTTCTGGTGGGTCCTTCAACACAAGCATCCCCTCATCCCTGAGGAAACCCAAAGAGAGCAGTACCCAGTCAGGATGGAGGCCAGCAGGCAGGGACAGCTTGCCACAGCCACTCCTTGCTCAGCAGCCTCAGCACCAGAGCGGCCTGGCCACGTTGAGGCTGTAGGCAGCATCTTTGCCTCTCACTTCACTTGCCATTCAGTTATTTGCCTCTTCAATGAACAAGCTATCAAGCACTCGCACGGAGAAAACCCCATGGTCTCTACCCAGGGATATTGGTTTGCAATGGGAGAGCTAGCTTGACCAAGACCTGGATGACTGCCTGCTAGAAGGCCCACATCTGAATGGGTGCTAGCCCTGCCGTGCCCACCACTGAGCCCACCGGCTGCGTGTATAGCTGCACCAGAGGTCTCTGGGGACTGCTTTTTTCCCCTGAATGATAAAATACACAAGATCTTGTGCAGATTGCTATTGGTGAAGTGACAGAAACTTGTCACTGTGTCTAAATCTTCTTATTCGGGAATATCTCTCTTCTCCTTTTGGAGGCATATTCACGCTCGCAGCTCAGGCACACGGGAAAAAGCAGAGAGTGTGAGAGAAAAACTCCCTCCTGCCTGCTGCTCCCTACACACATCCCACGTAGACGCGTGCATTGGGATGGGGGCAACTGCTCAACTGCTTCAGGATTACTCACAAAAGCAGGGACTTGCATGCGGCAGCCCAAATTAACCTGAGCTGCCAAGTGAATTTGGCGCTTATTATGACGTGATTCACGGACGTGGGCTTGGACTTGAAGCACCCCCCTTCCTGAAGCTTTTGTCCACCTGGCTGTTTTGTGGGGTTTTTATAAATTCCTCTGACTGCCCAGATCAAAAAAAAAAAAAAAATGCAGAAAGGGAAATACAGACAGGAGCCCGAGCCAGAGGTACAGGCACATGTGAGGAAGAGACCCTGTGGCAGGAATTTGCCAGCCTGACGCTGTCAAGGAAAGGCAGGCGCCCATGTCCTCACAGCCTTCCTTGGCCACAGCAGAAAAGACAAGGGGTGGGAAACCAACCCACCCCCACAACCCCGTGCACTCCCCGCTTGCACCTCGTGGAGGCTGACAGGGTGGTGCGGGGAGCCGGGGAGGGCGGGAGGATGGAGGTGGCTCCCTGGCCGTGATCCCATCATGTAAGATGGGAGAGGAAGAGTCACCACCGAGCAGGGAGGTGTGAAGCAGAGGGTGCATGCCAGTGGGTTATAAGCCATCTGTCCCCATGCACGAGTAACCTGAGCTGCCCCAGCATGTACCTAGTCCCTGTCTGGCAGGGAAGGTGCATCCCGGCCCTCTTACCTGTCCACGGCGGGAGCCGCAGGAAAAAGTGCTGTTGCCCTATTCTCCTGCACCTGCTTTCTGCCCAGACCTGCTGGAGATGGGGCTGCTGGCAGGGAGGGAAAAAGGGCTTCTTGCTCTGTGATGCCTTGGCCAAGCTCCCTGCTGAGCTCGGCAGAAGCCAGCAGGCAAGGAGCTGAAGTCCCTGTGCCTGCAGCGGGCACGGGAATGAGCCGTGGGAAGCCCGGGGAGGCCTGACCTGGCCTGTCCCCTGCCCGGCATTAAGCTATTGCAGCATCTTCTGGAGGGGGTTTTCTAATTTTCATTTGTCGGCTCTAAAGCGCCCGGCATATTGTGCAAAAATCTGACTTGCTGAACACCTGCTTTGCAAATGTTGCACATTCGTGGTGCCAGTGGGGGGTGGGGGTGAGCTGAGAAAAGGGTTGCTGTTGGCTTTTGGCTTACTGCAGGCAGGAGCTGGCGACCCTCCACAAGGTGCATGGATTGCATCTGCCCATGCTCCGTGCAGTAGGATTTCCTTGTCCCACAGGGAATTGCAGCAAAGCAAAGGAAGCAACTGAGGGAAAAGGTAGCTGCATCCACCTGGGGTATCAGCCCTGCCCAGAGGTATAGAAAAAAAAAGAAGACAGGGGGTAATGAAGGTAGTGAAAGGACACCAAGCCTCCCTGTTTTTCAAAGGAGTGGGCAAGCGAGACTAAATGATGTTGGCACGATATCTCATTTCAGAGTTCTTCCCCTCAAAAAGGAACTGGGCAAAGAAATGGATCTTTGTCTCTTTAAGATGAGATGAACTGCCACTCTTAGTCATATATCTTTACTGCACCCTAGGGTTATAAAAACATACATCTTCATTTTGAACGTCTTTTATTACATCCATAAACATTAGATTGCAGCTGACTGTTCCCTGGATGAGACTGTCCTAGTACTCCAAGTGAGTTTTGACAGGGGGAGGGAGTGAAAGTAAGATTGTTTTTTTTTTTTACTGGAACGGTGTTTATAGGGAACTTGTCAGTCTCTGGCATGCTACAGCCACTGTCAGAGCGCTGAGCGGCACCGAAGTGAGAGGACACGGGTTTCTCTGCTTATTCTCACTATTGGACTCGGGTACCATCCCAGGTGCTGCACACGGTAAGCTTTCCTCCTGTTTTAAATAGGACGCAGTGTTTGCTTTGTCTCAGAGGTTGGGTTTTCAAATGGGTTTTGCGAGAAAACTGAAAAATGGGTCTCCGTGAAAAGAACTAATCTCTTCATTTACTCTGCTAGCCACTCCGCTGGGAGTTGGAGTGCAGGAAAAAAAAAAAAAAAAAGGAAAAAAAAAAGAGGGAATTAGATCTGAGACTTTCAGAGCACAGAGTGCTTGCTCCAGTTTAAAGACACAGGGGTAACAGCCAAATTGTTTTGACCAGAAAAGTGAATGCTCTTGACAAGTATTTCTGACATCTCTAATACCTGAGGAATTGCAAATCCTTTCAACAGGTACAAGAGCTATTATTTAGCAATACGTTGTAAATGCTGAGCTGTATTTCTGTCTGATATGTTTTACCTGGGTGATTGCACTCGTGAGGCATTGTGCTCCCTCAGGCAAGTGCAAGAAGTAGCTTCAGAAATGCCATCAGGGTATTTCTAAGTAGGGTATAAATGTGTGTTCTGTAATCTGCAGCATGTATACAACAGCATGCAATGTTTCCGCTCCTTAAGCTTGAGAAACTAAGAGTATATCCACATTGCAGCATGAGAATGACTGCAGCACAGTGCAGTTTAAATTAGAAGGTGGGGGGAAAGTGGGAGCAATCTTGAAACTGCAGCTCACAGCTCAGCAAAGGTGATTTATGCTTCCCCTGTCTGTGTGAATACAGTGTGGACAGACTTGAAAGATGGGGAAACATTGCTATCGTACTTCATCCTTCCTAAAGTGTACCATCCCTTGAAATCTGGGGTCTTGTTTTAAGGGCTTGTTTGCTTTTCCCTGCACTAGTGATTGCAATTCTGTGTCTTGGGAAGGGGCTGGGGCTTCATCGGGCTGACTTTCCCATGTCGGCTGAAGCACCCGAGCACTGGAGTTGCCAGTGGGAGGCGAGGAGCTACCGGCGAAAATCCTCCTGCTGCCACAACAGCTCAGGCAGTAATAGGATCCCCACGGGATCCCCATGGTGGCCCTGTCCAAGTTATGTTCGCGAGGGAAAAGGGGTTGGGAAAATTGTGCTCTGCTGTGTCCATTCCACGAAGCAGGAAGGGCGGACCTAATTCTGCAAGAACAGTCACTTTTGCATCTCCTGTTTGCCTGAAGTTTATGCATAGCAGCACAATCCTTATGAATTTGCACCAAACAATTGGTCTCCAGGATAATGTCCCAGTGTAAATCTGAAAGGCAAGCTGGGTTTTCTTGTGTTCATAAGCTGTTGCATTGTTCATAGGCACTCTGGCACAGCGTGCTGCCGGTGTAGAGGCAGTCCTTGTGAGCCAGACCTTTCAAAAGTGGGTGGCAATTCTGGGTGTCCCACCCAAGAAACATGAAAGGCATCTACTTTCCAGAGAGCGCTGCCTGAAAATAAGCCACCTTTCACAGACCCAGGCCCCCCCCCGCCCCAAGAACTTCTGAGAAACCTTGACTGTAATCTGCAGGCAGAGGAAGGCAGGCGAGAAGAGGAGTCATTTACAAACGCTGGCACTGTTCAAAAGACCAGAATGACTTTTTGGTTTAATGCCTCACTGTCAGAGCTGGAAGTCTGGGGATGCCACATTGCAGGGGGGTTGAAGGTGTCTTCTTTCCTCTGTCATTTTCTGTTATGTCTCCCTCCTGTTTCTTTCAGAGAAAGAAGAATTGTTCCAGAATTTATTAGGACAGATTGCCGAGCAGTTCTCGAGGTAAGACGCTGAACATCATTATTAATTTAAAATGCTATTTCTTTTATCAGACTGAAGTGAAATTTTCACAGGAGGCAGAGGGGCATTTAAGATTTCTTTCAAATCCCGCTCTT